ATTATTTTCAGAAATATTTCCTGTCATTATTTGGGGCAATTTCTACCTCTTTTTAAGTTATTGCAGCACAGAAACACAAGATGAACATTTTTTTCTGAACTTTACAACGACAACCTCATCCCCCCCCCCCCAAATCCCAAAATATGGGGTAAATATTAAGCAAGGATTCGTAAGACATCCAAATATTGGGCATTAGATAAATATTAATCCTGGGCAACAAGTTTAACCCAAAATTTCCAAAAGGTGGCCATGTTAACTGCCTGGAGTAAAACCAACAGAGTCCCATGAGTTGCAGGCATGCGCTTCCAGTGTTACCTATAAAGGATCTATGAAAGCTTATCCCACTAGTAAATTAAAATTAAGGAGTCTTTAAAATTATGCATTGAAGAGTGACATCAAATGAGTTGTAGCAGTAATGCAACACTTAGAAAACACAACCAAATACGAATATTACATTTTTAAAATTGATTTATTTTCATTTTATTGTAAATATTATATCTCCCTTTTCTGCTAATGGCTGCCTATTACTAGTAAACAAGCTAAACAAAGAAGTTAGATTTGGAAAGTTATACGCTGGGCAGAGTCAGAGTTGAAGGGTGAGCTTTTTATGGACTTATGTCTAATCAGCAAGTTTAATTATTGAAAGAAGTCAATTCTCCATGTTTCTAAATAAATCTTTGAAAGATAGACTGAGACTTATTTTAAAAAATGATATTTGTAGGGAGATTTCAGACAGTTTTCTGATTAGGAATATATCCCCCCCCCCAAAAAAAATAAATGTTCATGTTTATTTTCTACAATTTATAAGGTCAGTCATGGGTTATAAAATTAGCATTTCTAAAATTGTATTAGTCACTGAACCAAAAACAAAATTGATTCAGGATAGAACTATTACCCCTGCATTTTAAAAACAGCATTATTGTACAAAGAAAGCTTGCTTACTATGAGCAACGCAATGCAGCTCTATCAATCTTTCCTGATAAGTTTATATATAAAACAATGCAAGAGTGAAGAAATCCACTGTACCTTTCAATAAGACAGCAGGTAAGTATATCATTAGCTGTGTGACAAGCATTTCTTCCATATCCGAAGCAAGAATAACTTTAAAAATTCAGCCACTGAGAAATTCATTTCGACTGCAATCCTAAATATGTTTATAAGCCTCCTTGAAGACAATGGGACTAGCTTCCAAATAAATCTCCACTGGATCCTGCTGCTAGTCAGCCAAGCCAAACCTAAACATTTTTACTGGAAGAGATTGAAATAGGATCGTGGCTTAAATGTTTCTAATGATCTTCCCCTCACCACCTCCCTGTTTATAAAGCTGTGTCTCTGAATCCATGAGCAGGAAACATTTAATTTGCACCGTTTAATCCATTTTTAATATATACCGACTGCCAAATTTAAACTTCAGGCAAGTGAATGATGCAATCTCGTGCACTCTTCTTTCATACTTATGATCAAGAAAAAGGCATTAAATTGAGATGCATAATTAAGCTGCTGAAACAGTTGCACACATTTAAATTCAACATTGATTAGGAAGTTTTAGAAAACTGGATTGTCTGAATGCCCGGATTTTTTTTGGTTGTTTTTTTTTTAATGAAAGTCCTGCCGAAGAGAAATTGAATTAAGAGTTCTTAACCACCTTTGACTTGAAAACAGTTGGTATAAAATGGAGCAAATATTACTGGAGGTGAATGAGATTTATTCCTGATGAGAACATGTATGGAACGACAGTAACTTTAATATTAATCCAGTAGCACCAGAAAGTATTGCCTGGGAGTTCAAGAAACAAATCACACCCCATTTTCAGTGAACTCTTTGAGCCTCTGCATTATACAAGTTCTCTGCTCTTTACTTATGCAAAGCATAATTTTAGTTAGAGCTGATTTGACTTGATTTTCTCAAATGTTCTTGCCAGACAAATGTGTTCTATTCATAATACTTTATATTATAGTAATTAAATAAAAACATACAAAGTGCTTGGTTTATAATGACTAATGCAATAGTAATAGTAATAATAGTAGGAGTAGTAGTAAGTAGGAGTAGTCATGGATAACTTTGCAGCTTCATTTTTTTAAGATCAGGCACCTGCAGAAAAATGAAAACCATTTGTTTTACATCAAAGTTGGCATATGTGTTTATTATAGAGTGCTCTAGGTCTAAAAACAGTTTTCAAGAACCAAGCACTGAATCGTATCCTTTCAACACACACACACACACACACACACACAAATGTTCGTGTAGAAATTGATGATTGGGAGAGGGGTTTGTTCTGTTTCCTGCCCCCACAAAGGCTTTCCAATTTTTATATCTGCACAGAAATTGAAAATACATTTTCATTTTAACAACAGTAATCCACAGTAGTGATGAAGGGAAGCTTTGGGAATCTTGATAAATGTCTTCTATGAACATACTTTTAAAAAGTTTTTTCTAACTACATCATTAACTCCAAATGTTTTACACTGAAAATGAATTGTTAATTTGTATCAGAATCAAACTTGTAATTATTTTGATTTTTTAACAGAAAGCTAAATTCTAATTTAAATATAAAATTAAATCTTAACATTTTAAGATTTAACCAGCATACTTAGAATTGTAATATAGTTGCAACATGGGTGTCAGGCTTACATTTCTTTTTGGATGTACCATGCAAATTAATATAACTTCAGCAGATAGAATAAAGTAGAGCATAGTAGCATTTTTAGCAATTGAAATGTATAGATTCAGAACATCTTCCTCCACTGTGAATCCAAATATCAGTGCCCCAAACTTTCTCACAGATTGGTTGATTGCTACCACACCAATGTAGCTGATCTTTCATAGGTACAGTTAGATCTCTTTAAGGCTGTCAAAAATGTTTGGTTGATTAAAGTCTTTCTTTAAGCAAGCTAGTGCAGTTAAATAAAGTTGCAGATAAGGCAGTCAACGCTGGAAACAGGTATCTATTTGGAACCAAAGTATGAAAACGTAAAATTTCATACAATAAAAAAAAGCTACCATTCATTATTAAAAGTAAAGCCATACTTAAAATTTTACGTTATCATTTGTCAGAAAAAAGCATGCTTAATATCAGTTTAATACTAGATATTAAACTATGATACCCCTATGGCAGTTTAATATGCTAAATTAAATACGTTAAAAATTCCAGCACTGAAACATTAGTTACAGATATATATATAATGGGATGACCTATTGAAACATATCCACTACAGTGCATATATTCTCTATAGCGCAGGTATATTTGTTAGAAGATACCAGAAAATTTTCCGATATTTAGCTATCTCTTTTTCAGAGAATAAGTTTATTTTTGAAAAGCCAGTGTGAAAAATCTGTAAGTAAAATTCTACCCTTTAACTTCTGAAAGTGAAGAGAACAAAACAAGCGTTGAAACTCAAAAGGATGATCACTTAGAGAAGTTAGTTGCTTTTGATGTCAGTCAGAACTTTTCCAATAAGCAAACAGGTTTCCAAGTGTAGCACGGCTTTCTTACTCAAAGTGCTAAAAGCAGTATGCAAAGATCTAGGTAGTCCCCAGTTTAAGAACGAGTTCTGTTCCCAAGCTCTGTCCTTAAATTGAATCTGTATGCAAGCCGGAAAGTATTATTGTATAATACTGTACAAGTAATATTGTGTAATTAACTTGAACCATTGTGTACTTAACTTGAATCATAGTGTATTTAACTTGAATTTTGCTACAATAGGCTCCGTTCTTAACTGTGGGTTATCCTTAAACCGGACATTCTTAACCCAGGGATTACCTATTGAACGTGTGTCATGTGACACCTATTATTAGACATTGATGTTGATTGAATGCTGTAGTATTTCAGCATGTTCCTGATGTGCTATTTCTGGGCTCAAAAGAAACTTATCAATTCCTTTCCTTTTTTGTTAAAAATTAATCATTTTCATTAAATAGGTACAACAGCACTGTACTCAAATGTTCTGAAAGTTACAGTGATAAGAGAGTCAAAGCCATAATGTTCAAAGGTAGTTTGGCACCATTTCTGGATTCAT